TCTAATAATTTCCCGCATGGATTATTGTAACCCTCTCCTGCTTGGTCTTCCCAAAAGCCGTACTGCACCACTACAGTCTGTAATGAATGCTGCTGCTAGACTGATTTTCCTCTCTAGTCGTTTCTCCCACACCTCACCCCTCTGCCAGTCCTTACATTGGCTTCCTGTGTGCTATAGGAGTCAATTCAAGGCACTAACTCACACCTATAAAGCACTGAACAACTCTAGCCCCTCCTATATCTCCTCACTGATCCACAGGTATGTCCCTTCTCTGTCTCTCCGCTCTGCCCGTGACCGCCTCCTGTCCGTAGTCCGCACCCGTACGGCCAACTCGCGCTTGCAGGACTTCTCGCGGGCAGCTCCCTTGCTATGGAATAGCCTGCCTACCGCCATCCGACTCTCCCCTAGTCTTGCATCTTTTAAGAAGTGCCTTAAAACCCATCTCTTTAGGAAAGCCTATGGCCTCCAAGACTAACCCCTACCTCACTTACCTGTCTCTTGCCCTCCCCTAAAGGGCAGCCCACTTTTTTTTTGATTGCACACTCCTGTCCTAATGTGTCTTACACCCCACCTCCTATAGAATGTAAGCTCGATTGAGCAGGGTACTCTTCAACCTATTGTTCCTGTAAGTTTATTTGTAATTGTCCTATTTATTGTTAAATCCCCTTTCATAATATTGTAAAGCACTACGGAATCTGTTGGCGCTATATAAATGGCAATAATAATAATAATAATAATAGAGGTTCAAACATGAGTACTAGTTCTCTATTACTTGCCATATGAATTTACTCAGAATTTACTCAAAATCCCAATTCTTTCCAAGACACCTTATTTCAAGCGAAATATAGACGTTTAAAATTATGGTGATGTAAGACGTAGAGAAATTTAGAAAAATAAATAAATACCAACATAACCTATCGATAGGAGAGAGAAAAGCCTTAAGTAATATAAAGAATGATGAAAATTTAGTAATTAAACCAGCAGACAAGGAGGAGTAGTGTGGAGGAGTAGAGTGGAGGAGTAGTGATTCTTAATAAAGATCAATATGTTAGAGAAGCAGAAAAGATACTGTCAGACTCCTCCACCTACCACAAATTAACACACAATCCTATGACTGATACCATAAAAATCTTTAAACAGTATGTGGACAAAGGAAAAGAATTGGGAATCCTTACTGATAAAGAAGCGGGATATTTGTTGGTATATAACTCAAAAATACCGGTCTTCTACCTCTTACCAAAAGTCCATAAGAATGTAGAAAACCCTCCGGGGAGACCAATTATATCTGGCATCGATTCCATTTCCATGAGAATCTCTGAATACATAGACATTATACTCCAACCAATAGTTATAAAAAATCCCACCTATCTTAAAGATACAATCCATGTTTTACAAATCTTGGAAGAAATAAAATGGATGAAAGGAAACCTATTGGTCACATGTGATGTGACTTTCCTATATAGTATTATCCCCCATGACAAAGGAATGGCAGCAGTTAAATATTTTTTTAGAGAAGTCTGATTTTAAAACAGAACAAATAAAGTATATTTTAGAAGGGATTTTATTAATTTTAACCCATAATTATTTTTGGTTTGAAAATACCTTTTATTTACAGATCTGTGGTACGGCAATGGGCACCAAGTTTGCCCCCAGTTATGCTAATCTTTTTATGGCATTTTGGGAAGGAGCATTTGTACTCACAGAACATCAATGGGTGGCAAGCTTGGTGTCCTACTGCCGGTTCATTGATGATATCTTTTTTGTATAGACCAGAACCACGGAGATCCTACAGAAATTTATTGCATATCTTAACATCAATGATTATGGAATAAACTTAACCAGTTACTATAGTGAATCGAGTATTAACTTTATAGATTTAGATATTAGTATTCAGGAATCTACAATAGTAACCAAAAATTATTTTAAACTGGTAGATACCAATAGTTACATTGGAAAAACCAGTTGTCATCATAAGCCTTGGCTTAACAGTGCTCCCAAAAGTGAATTTTTAAGAATCTGACGCAACTGTAAATTAGATATAGATTATCTAGAACAGGCGAATTATATTAAAAAACAATTTATAGAAAAGGGTTATAACGAAGCACTTTTAGACCAAGAAATGGAGGAAGTAGGAAGATTAAAAAGAGAAAATCTCATTCAATATAAGCCAAGAAAATAACTAGTTGACACTAACGAAGTTCCTTTTATTTGTAATGTTTATGGACAAAACAGACGCATACAGAAAACTATAAAAAAACACTGGCACTTACTAAAGGACGACCCAATTTTAAATAAAATTTTACCTTCAAAACTCCAAATTACATATAGAGGAGCAAAAAAATGTAAAAGCATTTTAGTTAAAAGTCACCTAACTCCCAAAAAAAACAGAGCACTTTATTCAAGATCTAAAAGGATTTTATGGGTGTGGCATGTGCCTCCCATGTAAAACCACAAAAAGTAAGAAGAGACATTTAGAAAATATAGAACATATAATTCATAAGCCATACACTATTAAAGACTACCTAACTTGCCATACAAAGGGTATTATATACATCTTGAAATGCCCCTGTAACTTGATATATGTAGGAAGGACCATTCAACCTTTGAAAGTTAGGATCGACGAACATATTCGCAATATTAAAAATGGGTTAGAAACCCACAGCGTGTCCTTATACTTTAAAGAGACTCATAACCAAAATCCAGAAAATCTGTTATTTTGTGCAATAAAGGAAGTAAAAAGAGATTGGAGAGGGGGTAATTATATTAAAATATTGGGTAAAGAAATGTGTTTTATTTATAATTTTAAAACCCTAATCCCCCATGGCTTAAACTCTGATTTTGAGGTCTGCCACTTTTAATAACATTTTTATATACAAATAAAACTTTTTAGGAATATATTTTTTATACAAGTTTTAATGAGAGGACTCTCTCCCTCCCTCTATCTTCTAACATCACATACAGTTGAATGTTTACACATTTTTTTCTGTTGCCTTCCATTTTCACTACGTACGATTGATTACCCATTTAAGAGCATAATGGTTATAATCTGGATTATTAAAATGATTTAAGTGAATGTTGGTCATTTCACACTACATTATTTATTTTAATATACACTATCTGTTTATTCACCCTTTTTAATTGTGATATCACATTTGACCAGAAATTAAGATATTGTGCAGCTTTGTATTTTTATCTCTTTCAGTTTTTTATTATTAGAATTTAATATTGTTTTTATACACTAGATATTTCCTAGTATTAAACTCCTCTTTTTATTATTATTTATATTGCATTCATCACAAACTGCTGTATGTCACGTGAGAGACTGACATATCGTAAGAACGCAGTGGAATGCATGGATGCGTTCCACTACAGAGGAAAAAGGAAACGATACATGCGTTCCACCGATGGAACGCAAAACCCGGAAGCGGAAATGCTATACGAACGCACGAACCGGCGGCAACAAACAAGCACCAATTATGGATTATTTAAAAGGATACTCACAGCCAGCAACATATCAGCAACTGAGGAAGCCTCTGAACAAGGCAAAACGCGTTTTGCACCACTAAGGACTATTTAAAAGACTTACCTTCAAAACTGTAAGGTCTTGATTTTATTTATTTTGTTTATTACCTATTGTGCACTTTTAATAAAGCACTTTATTTTCATACTTACCTTTGAGAGGATACCTCATTACTTGAAACCTCCTAAAGAAGGGAGTGGGAACCTTGATATCCCACAGAGCTGGAAAGTTGAGCCTTATCCATAGGCTCCTTATTTGTGAGTGAAATTTCATCCACTTTTTGCACTTTATAATTATATACAGACAATATTGCACTATTATGTGTCCCATTTTGTTTTATCTCTAGAAATATTTATTATTGTCAGTTATTCAAATAAGAAGATACTCCACCTTATACTGTATGTATTTTTACATTTTTAGGAACACCTAAACAGCAAACCATAAACAAATATGTTAATTTATCATGCATTTATATTTAGGCAGTATAAATAATACATAATATTTTTTCAAAAATTGGTAATAAAAAAGGGTTATTTTTAGGATATAGGTAATTGCTCCTGACCTAGTTTTTTGGATTCTCCATATCATGCATGTGGCTCAGTGCCCGTGGTCTTCATAGTACAGCTTATCTAGCTCAGGACCCTTTTTAAATTAATTTTTGACAAGCCGTTCCAGTTTATGGAAAGCAAATGATATTGTAGGACATGTGATATTTCAAAATGAAATTAAATTAAAATCACAGGCAATAAATACAAATTATCATAATTATCCCACTTAAAACATATGGAAGTAATTCATGATAAGATTCCATATATTATCTTATGGATTAATATAACATTCAGCATTGTCCATTGACCTATTTAAATACAATGATACAATCTGAGAACATGTAAGAATAACTTTTTCAGGGTTGAAACAATGATTACAGAAGAAAATATACTGAAATCGATACTCAATTTCTTTTTTGTTGTTTTGGTGAATGTCACACCTAGCAAGCATAATTAATTGTTGCACTATAGAAATATTGCTATTAAATGTTATGTGCATAGTGGATACATGAACTGGTCACCTAGTAGTGACAGTGTGGCTTGACTTGGATGTACTGTGTTAGATCTATTCCTTTAAAGTCAGGCACCAAGTTGTATCCCTTTGACAGGTGTAAAATTGTACACCCTAATTTCATGTAGGTTTATCTTTTTATCAAGATCAGATAACTACACCTCATTTGACTGTGTTGTGTAATGAACCTTGGTCCCTTTTGATATGCCGAGTGACCAATAGCAGTCAGAAGACAATTTTCTGCCAACGAGTATAACCATAAAACCATAATAATAATCCAGAGAATGATAATCATGCTTCCTGGTATACATATTCAGAACAGTGAGAGCATGCCGTACAAAAAGAGTCCAAACATGGCTAGTGTAACTTTTATTTATTTATTTATTTATTAATTTATTTATAAAATATTTTACCAGTAAAGATACATTGAGATTTCTCTCGTTTTCAAGTATGTCCTGTGTCCACAAAACATTGCATTGATACAATAGGGTACAATAAAATACAAAATCAATATAAATACACAACATATACAAAATGTAACATAGAACAGGTAGGAAATATATAATCAACCATGACACATGCATTCTGTTTTGAGGTATGTAGAGAGTTTGAAAGAACTGTGGATGTGTGCAATATTACATCATAGACAGATCTTTCTAGAAATTCATAAATTGCACCAAAGTCACAGCTGTACAAATTATTTTTGTGGCAGGAATATAACAGGAAATAAAACCATTTTGTCATATTGATTGTTTGAACCAAAGAAAAGGAGGAGAGAGTGAAGAGCAAGTAACCTAGACTTCCTACCAAGATGCATTTCCTCTGTCCTATATCTCCATGTGACCAGCTTGGAAATCTGAGATGGGGAAAAGGTATAAAGTCAATAAAATGCTAATGCGCCAATATGCTATCTGCGCGTTAGCTCCAACTTGAAATATCGATGATTTGCTTTGTCATTTATTGTACTGAATGCAATTGAATTGCCACTTAAAAAAAAACAATGTTCAGTCAGCTACCTGAGCAACTGGTAGGTTTTTATTTCATGTAATTGATTTATTCCATGTGTGGTTCATCACAATCTCAAATAAATAATTAATGACAATCTGTTGAAGCCATTCCCTCAACTTAGGAGTCACAGCCCCGAGTGCTCTTATCACAACTCGGACTGCTACTGCCTTTACTTTCCACATCCTTTATAGCTCTTCTTTCATGTTCTTTCTTCCTGATGTTATAGTCTTATCGCCACATCCACCACTACTGCAGTCTGCTCCTTGTCTACCACCACAATGTCAGGTTGGTTGGCCAGTACTTGCTTGTCCGTCTGTATCTGAAAGTCCCACAGGATCTTGGCCCTGTCATTCTCAACTATGCTTTGTGGTATGTTCCTATGCTGCTAGGATTAAAACCTCAGTGCTGTCTTTCAGTCCTGCCTTTTCCAACCACGGGTAGGATTTTGTCATGTGAGCCACTTCCATTATCTGCCAGTGGTACAGCCCAATGAGAGGTTTGTCTTGCCATAGAACATCCTCCTTTTCTGCATCATGTGTCTGTTGGAGTCTCAGGTATTCCCTTAGTAGTTCATCTTTGGGAGCCATCTTTTTGATGTACTTGTGGATGCTCTGTGTTTCAACTAGGACTGTGGCCTTGACACTCATCAGTCCCCGACCTCCTTCCTTCAGGCTTGTGTACAATGTCTGGGTGCTTGATTTCAGGTGGAATCCTCCATTCATAGTGAGTAGTTTCTGGGTCTTGATATCCATGGTGACCAGTTCTTCTCTTGGCCAGGTTACAATTCCAACTGGGTACCTGATGACCAGTAGGGCATATTCATTGATGGCTTGGTTCTTGTTCCTGCCATTCAGCTGGGACAACAGGACCTGTCTGACTCTCTGAAATCTTATCCTAAAATTGCACATTTACATGCTGAACATCAATTCAGTGTGTCTGAAATGGTGCTGCATTAATAAATTGCTGTGATGTTTAAAATAACATATATAACATTAAAGAAATTTGTGGGGTTTTAATGTTAAAATATTTTTGATGTCCCCTTAGTGTTCTCCCCTAAGTATAAACCTAAGAGGCTCTTAACCTGCTGAAAGAAGTAACCTTTGGTACTCTTGTTCACTCCAGCTACTGGTACAGCAACACAATGTAAAGATCCTCAACATTATAAACGGTGCTGTGTTATTTTCAATATGGCGTCATGATAGAATTATCAATAAAGTGAATCCTCTGACATAATAATTACAGATCACAGCTATTTTATTATATTTTAAATGATTAACCATGTTTATACTTGTCACATTTGTGTTTTCTATGATACATTACCATTTTTTCAAATTACCTACACAGTGAGCATGCTCTTGTGAAGAAATGTGATTTTAAGCATGGTGGTGCAGGGCTTAGTTCATTGATTGAGAGCAATCAGCGGACACTTTCAACCAAAGAGATAAGCCCTGTAACGCCAGGATTTAGCAGGATAGCTGACATAAACTCCTAAGCAGGATTGTTTATCTATTTCACGGATGTAAAAAGCAGAAGTCATACTTTATCGTTTAAATGGATTGACTATTTATTTTGGGGGTCCTAGTACACTGTAGTGGTTATGGTGATTGGAGTGTTCTCTTTACCTTAAATTTCAACTGAAACCTGTCCAACATCGTAAAACTTTTAAATATTATAACTCATGTTATAGATATGTGCCAGCTTCTTTGTATTAGTCATAGGAAGCCCTCAAACAATGATGTAGACTCTATTTTTACTTGGAAAAAAATTGTCTCAGCATAAAAGTTAATGTAAAAAACTGTAATTTCCAATAACATGTCCACAATCTGGATCAAATAACTACTTCTCCATTTCAGACATGTCTCCAAGCGCTAATATGTGTGGAAAAGGAAAACCGGCAGACATACCTCCTCATCTGCTGTGTATGGAAAATGAATGTGGGTCTTTCCCAAAAGTGCACTTTACAAAAAAAAATCACTGCTTTTGATGTTACGGTACTTTATTTTAAATGTAATAGCTGGAAGTTTTTTTCAAATTGTATTTAGGAATATTGCCAGGGATTTTGTGTACAGTAGGCATAGCTAGGAATAGATTTTCTTTCAGTTTTTGCAAATGAGTTTATATGCAAATTGGGAAAAGGATTGAACATGAAAACTTGGACTACACTAGATGGACTGTTTCTCCAGGCAATTAAACTATACAACAAAGAAGTTAGAAATCACAACAAAAGAGAGACCTAAAGTGATGGAACCGATACAAGCTCATTGAAAATTCAAGGTGAATTTAAATTTAATTTAAAATTTAAGGAAATTATAGCTTAATGGAAATTTTTTTTCCAGTTCTGCTACTTTGTCCTTAAAATTAAATTCACTTTAGGGAATAACCCTGATAATGATTATAGCATATACATATGTGAGTATAAACATGTTGAATCATTGCAAGTACAAGTGTTCTCGGAGTACAATCATTCAAATTACTGCTGTTAACAAGCTGTCATATTTGTTAACTACAAAGAAGCTTAGAAATTTCAGGTATTTCCCAAAATGTACATCCATACCAAGATGGAACTCTTTACACAAATACATACACTGCATGTGTAAAATAAAAGTAAAACAACTAAGAACACACGTCTAGCCCAGTGGCGGAACTTCTACCGGTGTAGCCTGTGCGACTGCAACAGTGCCAACATGCCTTGTTATGGGCAAATGCAAATATTCTATAGCTCGCTAGACCACTGGCTTTTAATGAACAGTTGGCACAACACTTATAAAATAATTTGTTATACTGCACATTATAGCTGTGACAAAATAATATACAGGGTAAAAATGCTATTTCACTGTTTAATAGACTTTCCCAGTATTTAAGGTCGACATGTTTCTTGCAAAGTAATTGGGACTTTGAGGAAGGTTCTAACTAGGTTTATTTAGTAAATTTACTAAAGATAAAAAAGTTGTTTTTTTGTTGTTTTTTTTTCCTGCAAGTGAATTTTCAGTGCAAGGCCATTTTGTTTAGACACTGTTCAGTTTTAAAAAGCTGTTCTATTTGTCTCACGTTATGAACGGCCTTGTGATTACTATGCACACTGCAATAAAAAAATGTTTTATATGCACATTGTTTTACTTTAAAATTAAATTGTTAATACAGGAACTAAAGTAATTTAAAGAAATTATATTTAAAGATAGTAGCTTTTATCTATCTTGGTCCACTGTTCACTGATCTCTCGAGTCTCAGTCTGGTGTTCAAACTGTTTTTCTTACGATACGATGTGAGTTTATAGCCACAACTGCATATTGCTTTGTGGAAACAAATTGAAAGCCTGGCATTGTAATACGTGTATGGACATGCTTATAACAAAGCTTGGTCCCTCTCCTCACATAGTTGGTCATTAACAGGCACTTTGATGCAATGGGTCTACCAACGCTATTCTGTGGTCACTGCATCACAAAATCATACCCTATCTCTTCGTCATGATGCAGAGTTTATGCTTGCAAGGATAACCATACCTAATCCACATGGTTATCCAAATATATACTCCTATCGTTTAGAGGGGTTTATTACATAATAACCATTGAAGGTAATATGTTGGTTGTTCTTCCTATAAAGGAAAGAGAGACTTGCCCTAAAAGCCTCCTCATGGCTAGGACATGCTCATATAGATAGATGTAATGTACTTCTAACTCCTGAAAAGGAATATTGGTGGCCCAATATAGGAAATACTATAGTTCATGTGTTTAGTAATCATAAGCATTTGCTTATTGCCACATTACTGATGAAATATTAATACCTAACATACTTTTTGAATTACTATATATTGGAAGTTTGCCAACATCTCATGGTTAGAGATATGTTTATGTATTGATGCATGTACCAGGTTTACTTGGTTATGCCCTGTGTAAAGTGCGACCTCTGATACCACGATTGTTAGTCTCACTTCCTTAGTATGCATTTGGTAATCCCAGGACCATCCACTTAGATGGTGGTCCTGCAGTTACTGCAAAGGAAACCCAAAACTGGGCAACCACATTTGGGTTACTTTTGGAATTCAATGCACCCAACCAACCCCAAAGTAGTGGGGTTGTGGTCCAGGAAAAATTCTGAGGTGAAATGACTATTAACCAAGTTACTAGACCCCACACAGTGGTATCTAATTATTCCTATGGTACAGATAAGTATTAACAACATACCTGATGATACAAATGGTGAGAAACCATTTGATATGTTACACAGTTTTCACTGACAATCATATTTCTGCACCAGGGAGAGCTTAGAACTATTGGTTCTATTAGAGAAATTTAAGGATTTGCTTTTCCAGCCCACCTCACCATGCACCACCACCTATTTCCTACTGTTGGCCAGTTTGTCCTGGAGAGGTTGACTCCAAGAACTTTTACTACAGAGAACAATCAGAGCCAACAGAGAACAGTACGTTTTTATATTGTACAACCTGCTAAATACTTCCAATATGTTCACAGAACCACTGACTGACACAATGGATGCGGTTAAAGAGGGCAAGATAAAACAAACAGAGGACAACATAAATGCCACCAGAACACAGCCACCAGAATCATAGTCACGTAACAGACTGAATCATGATCTGACATCTGAACCTGCAAAAGTGAAGGAGAAGGATGAATAGGCAGATGTGATACATTCACAGTTAACATGGAATATATGAAAAATGAATCATCAATATCATTATCAGAAAGACTCTAGAGAAAACAGACCGTACCTGAATTATCTTATACAGTAAAAAAGAAATGCAAAGATGCAAACAAAAGGATGCTAGAAAATAGGTTATGGTGTCTCCTTCTTACAATCTGCAGCATTATCATAACATCAACCCTAGCTGTCGTTTTAAAACTGCATTGGGATTATGTTAACAAGCAAGAAGCACCTGAACTGAATTGGACTGTGCATAATACAAGTTCTATAATCGTGAGGACTACCTCCAAGAATCATCTCAAAATGAGAGACACAGCTCACAGTGAACGGATTGCTAATGTGACCTGCACTGGTATTTCACAAGGAACCTATTGAAGATCATTCCAAAAACTGATTACACATGAGAAAGATGTGATTGGACTATTTCAAATCCTAATAATGGACTCAACAATGATGGCAAAGCATGCAGGAATCCGAAAAAAATGACGGGACAGATGCGTTCCACAAAGGGCTGGCGAAGGTCCTAATGTGGAGGGAAAACAGAATTGATGCGGACAGCTAATCGGAAGTCCAAATAAGGAAAAAGAATGAAAAAGTGATGACAGCTGATGAGAAGATCGAGGATTGGTGGGACGGACCCGGTAGGATAAGAGAGGGACATTTAAATAGAGACAATTGACAGGACATCTTGCAGCAATTTATTGTTTATATTACTTGATTTTATATGCTTTTTCTCCTGAGGAAGTCTACTTGTGGATAGACAAAACGCGTAGAGCTTATTTTATTTTATTTTATTAGTTATTGTTCTATTAAGTTTTATTGCCTGATATTACTGTGCTTCAACTCTACCGATACAACCTGGAAAGGAGGAACACAGAGGTTGATTGATGGGCTTTTTAACTCCCGATTTTTTTGTAAGTGTTTATGAATAAACTGTGTGATTTGCAGTCTGCAGCAGTTCTGTACTATGTCTATTTATATGTCATTACATGGTTTCATGAATACTGGGATCTGAGATGACAATCACGCTCAGAAGATTTAAAGACATGCCTACGTGCCTGAATTTCTCATGGAGCTTGTGAGTGTATTTCGAAACTCCACTATCGCCTGCTGCTGCTAGCACAGTCTCTCCAGCATGTGCAAGGTGGAGTTCCACCTTGTGGGCACATCGCATATGAGGAGGTGAACGGGAAGGCCAAAGTTACGCTGCAGTGCAGACAGGCGAGCAGCAGCAGGGTGAGAATGCTGAAAGCATGCACAGCCGCTACAGTGAATGTCACATCCTGTTCCAAGTTGCCAATCAGTCTGATGATGGCTTCTGGTATCCAGTACTCTTTTTACTGAAGCTGCATCAGGGTCCTGGTATGTGGCCGCACAAACGCTGGTGCTCAACACCAGGGGGCGTGCGGTTACCCTGCACCAGACCCTGCTAATCCATTCCACACTGTGACTCCTAACTTCAAACATCAGGCATACTGGGTCCCAGTCATCCGACCGCTGCCCAGACAGTGTCTGGGTCCCTGTCACCAGACTGCGAAAGGCTCATTAAATCTGTTATGGTTCCTTTTATCGCTCCATCTGTCACTTGGATAACTGTGGGAATTCTAAAGATAATACATGCCGATGAGCCCTAGGGGGCGGACGCTCCGCTTTTGCACCCTGCTCCCTCTTATGCTGTGCTGGTGCCTCTGTGCTACCAGCGCCTCTTCCTCCAAACTGCACACGTCACTCGCATGACCTTGATTCCATGTGGGGTCTAGGACCTCATCATCCTCCACATCATCTTCCACCCACTCCTCAACCCTGCCCTCCTTGCCGGTCTGCGCACTGCAGAAAGCCACAGCAGTTGACACCTGTGTTTTTCCAGCATGTAAACTCTGCAAAGGACATATGGAAATTGTATTAGAGTTGTATCCAGGCAACAGTTTTCCCTTTAAACCGACCTCTCAGTTTGACTTGTGAGGGTATTATAATATTGTTATATTGGTATTTGACGGTTCTATTTGACTGTCAGATTTGAAGTGCAGACCGCAAATGTACTATTCGGCACCCAAAAAAATTAGAATTGGTCAAACTATGCTGTAACCACAGTATTTGACGCTTCTATTTGAAAGTCATATATGAAGTGCACACCTCAAATTTACTTTTTATCACCCAAAACAATTTGAATTTTTCAAAGTGCGCTGAAAGCACAGTATTTGATGGTTCTATTTGACTCTCAGATATGAAGTGCACCGCAGGCCGCAAATGTACTATTTAGCAGCCAAAAAATTGGAATGTTTAAAAATGCTATGTCACAGCACTATTTGACGCTTCTATTTGACTCTCAGGTATGAAGAGAAGGGCTCAAATTTACTATTTAGCAGATTAGCACCCAGAAAATGAGAATGTTTCAAACTGCGCTTACAGCGCAGTATTTGACACTTCTATTTGACTCTCAGATATGAAGAGCAGGGCCCAAATTTACTAGTTAGCAGATTAGCAC